GGGCGAGGGGTGCGGACGACGCCGCCTGCAAGAAGCGGCAGAAGGACCGCGCCAACCAGGAGAGCCGCGACGGTGAGCGGCCGGGCCGCCCACCCCCGGGCCTGGCCCCTTCCCGCGGGCTGAGCACCGCCCCGCCCGCGCTGCCCTGCACCTGTCTCCGCGCCCTGAGCCGAGCCCGCGGGCGGCGCCTCCAGCCGGGGCCGTGCCGAGCTGGCTTCCGGCCGGCGGAGACGCTTGGTAACGGCGCGGCCCCTGCTCTCGGCTGCCCACGGACACGCAGGCCAGTGCTCTCCCCGGGGGCTGGCGGCTGCAGGCAGCACCTGCCGGGTGGTGTCCGTGGGGCCTCCCCACCAGCGTGTCCGGCCTGGCGCCGCCCACCATCTCGTGCGGGGCCCTGGCCGCTGGCCACCTGGCTCTGCGCTCATGAGGGCTCTGCGGGGTCAGGGAGGCAGCGCCCCTCCCCCAGAGCAGAGTGGCCTTGCAGCTGGGAGCGCTCCCTGGGGTCTGCGCTTCCTCCAGCTCCCCTGCGACTCCCTTCATTTCCCATCCCGCACTTTCCCTGCCTCCTGTGCTGCTCTGCGCGAGGGGCAGGGATCCTCTGCACAGGGAGGCGAGGATGATGACTCCCTTCTCCTCGCAGAGCTGCTGCTGGACTGGAAGCAGAATGCAGATGAGATCATCATCAAGCTGAGCTTGGGCAGCAGCGCCCTGAAGGTGGAGGATGTGGAGACGGTGTTCACAGACACTGACTGCATCGTCAAGCTGCCAGGTGTGGGCCATGGCTGGCCAGAGCGCGGGCCGCGAGCACGTGGTGTGATGGGGTCTTCCACGTGCTCCACTGGTTGCGTCTGAACAAGCGGCTCAGGGCACGTGGTGCGGGCAGGGGGGGTCACGGGTGTGACAGGACTGCCCAGGGCCAAGGGAGGGTGAGAACAAGGCTCCTCAGCGGGTGCCAGCCATGGCAGGACCATCACGTCCCTATTTCTGCAGACGGGCGGCAGTGGAGCTGCCAGTTCTACGAGGAGATCGAAAGTTCCTGTAGCCGTGTGCAGCACAAGAAGGGCAACTTCCTCCAGCTGGTGCTGCAGAAGAAGATCCCGCTGCACACCTGGGCCTCGCTGCTGGTAAGGCTGGGGGCATCCGTGGGGCTGGGCAGGGTGGGACTGGGCAGCCCTGTTCCCACAGGAGCTAGCTGGGAAGCGGGAGAAGCCCCCACGCCATCTCAGTGCTTCAGAGTGGGCAGTGACCTGCCTGGTGCCTTGGGAGCCTCTGGTGGGCAGGTGGTGCCCAGGGATGTAGGCATGGGCAGAACTGGCCAGCGCTGGGCTAGGCAGTGTCCCCACCGCACCTCTGCCTTCCACAGAAGAGGCGGAAGGACGGGCCCAAGGATCCAGTGTGGGGCACAGCATGCTGGGAGAACGGCAAGGAAAAGGCTCCTGCTGAGGTGGCCCCCGCGGAGCCCCAGGTGGACGGCAGCCTGGAGCCACCCCGGGCTAAGCGGGACTCCTCCAACCCCAAGCGAGCTCCAGGCAGGAGCGAGGCCCTGGTGGGCCGGACCCCCCTGAGCCCCGGGCTGCTGAGTGGTCCCAGCGCGAAGCGGGCCGTGTACCTCAAGGCGGCACTATCTGAGGAGGAACCTAATGCCAGGGTCGTGGGGGGCCCGGAGTCCGGTGAGGGGCATGGTGGGAAAGTAGGCAGCCGGCGCAATGGCGGGGCTGGCCAAAGCGAGGCCCCTTCACCTGCCACAGACCCCAGCCTGCTCCTGGAGAAGGTAATGGGGAGGGATCCTGAACAGCCCCTGGTAGGTGGGGTGAGTTGCTGCTTTCCACCTGTCCTGTGGGTGCCCCCAACGTTCAGTGGTTCTGGGAGTCAGCCCATCTGGGGCAGGGGAGGGGAGAGCTGGCGGCTGGGCAGAGCTGTTTGCAGAGGGTTTGTCGCCTGCGGTCTGGAGGGGAGTGGGGAGACGGGAACCCACGAGCCAGCCATGCTTCACCACGTGCCCCCATGCTGCCAGGTGGAGCTGCTGGAGAAGGAGCCCATGCCTGTGGAGATGCAGCTGCTTGTGGACCCCTCAGAGACGTTCCCCCTTCCTGGCACCGCCTGCCTAGAGAAGAGAGTCCTGCCCCCAGCTGAAGCTGCCCGGGGCTGGGAGTGCGCACCAGCCCCAGGTGAGGGCCCAAAGGCAGCCCCAGTCATCGCTGTTCCCCTGCTTCTGAGCAGAGACAACGACAAGAGGGACTGGTCCAAGGATGAGGCAGCTCTGGAAGCCACCGTGGATGGTAGGTGCGAGGAGTTTCATCAGAGCCCAGGCTTACCTGGGTGCTTGGATCCCGAGTGACCCCAGTGAAAGGTCACCAAGCACATGCTGCAGAAGTCCTTGCAGCCTGGCCTGGGAGCCCAGTGGCTCTGGTCTGTGGCTGGGCAGCCCGCTCTGGCTCCCTGGGTGGCCAACAACCACTCCTCATGGGGCTCCCGGGGGTGGGGCTGAGATACCCCTGCCGCCCCTGACCTGTGTTTGCACTCCCCAGAACCAGAGCCAATTGTGAGCCTGACGTTTGTGAAGAACGACTCGTATGAGAAGGGGAATGACCTGGTGGTGGTGCACGTCTATGTGAAGGAGATCCACAAGGAGAGCTCCAAGGTGCTGTTTCGGGAGCAGGACTTCACGCTGGTGTTTCAGACCAGGTACGGCTGGTAGGGCGGTGGCTGGCAGGCTCCAGGGCTGGGGCTGCCGTATGTGCCTGACTGGGGGCCACAGCCCTTACTCTGGTCCCATTTGTTCTGCCTGTAGTGACACAAATTTCCTGCGCCTTCACCCTGGCTGCAACTCCCACACAGTGTTTCGGTGGCAGGTGAAACTCAGGTACAGTGACTGCCCACAGCATCCCACACTCCCTGAGGCCATGCTCAGCTGGGGCTAGCCACCCACACTGCCTCTGGCCTCCTGAAGGTCTTGTCAGTGGTGTCTTGGAAGGGCACCTAAGTGCAGCTCAGATGGTCCTAATGCCCAGCTCTGGGCCATGGGGCACTGGGTGAGGCAGGCACCCTGTGCTAGCAGGCTATGGCTCTAGCTGCAGAGTCCCAGCACTCTCAGTGGGAGGCACGGCGTGGGGATGGGCAGGGGGGTGTGGTGTCCAGGCAGAATGCTGCCTCCTATCTGCTGGGCCCCTTTCATGCTTTCAACCAGGGGCTGTGGTGCTGGGGCTCTCCCAGCCAGGAGAGCTGTGTTTGAGACCCAGGCCTGGCTGGGGGGAGCTGGGGTCTCCAGACCCCAACCCCTGAGGCATCTCTGGTGTTGTTCAGGAACCTTATCGAGCCAGAGCAGTGCACCTACAACTTCACCATCTCCCGCATCAATATCTGCCTGAAGAAGCGCCAGAGCCAGCGCTGGGGTGGGCTGGAGGCTCCTGCCACACGAGGTCTGCACCCCGGCTTCCCCTTAGCACCCCCTGCACATGGTGCAACCTCTGCAGGGCAAAGCTGGTGCTCTGCAGTCTCCAGCTGGGCACTGGGGTGCAGCTGCTGGGGTTGGGCAGGGGCTGCTGCAGCCCATGTAGCACTGGTAGGGGATGTGGACCTGGAAGCAGGCTGCTGGGCTGCAGGGGGGGCTTGAGGGATTTGGTGAGCTTGGGATGGGGAGCTGCAGCTGCCTGGCTTAGCACATGGGGCGTGCTGCAGTGCCTCAGCGTGATGGTGGCCCCGGGCCCCACACCAGCCTCCATACACACTGTGCTGCTAACCACAGGCCCACCTCTTCCCCCTGTTTAAGGTGCAGTGGGTGGTGCAAAGGTGGCCATGCCAACAGGCCCTAGCCCCCTGGACAAGAGTCAGCCAGGAAGCAACCAGCTCCCACTGTCCGCCAAGGAGGAGGCCCGGGCAGGCGAGAAGGAGAAGCCGCGGGTGGAGGACAGTGGCCTGGACGGCATCGCCACCCGCACCACTGCTGAACACGTGGCCGTGAAGCCAGAGCCACACGTCCCCTCAGTGAGCACTTGCGGGGTTGGCCCCTGCCACTCTGTGGGCTATGGGGTGCTCTTGGGGTGGGCGGCACTGGCTGCAGGAGAGATGGTCATGGCTCCAGGTCCCTGCACTGGGAGTGAAACCTCTGACACCTGTCCATGTCTCCCTGCCGGGTTACAGCCCAAGCCGACGTGTATGGTGCCTCCAATGACACACAGCCCAGTGAGCAGCGAGAGCGTGGAGGAAGAGGAGGAGGAGGAGGAGAAGAAGGTGTGTCTGCCTGGCTTTACAGGGCTGGTCAACCTGGGCAACACCTGCTTTATGAATAGTGTCATCCAGTCCCTGTCCAACACGCGGGAGCTGCGGGATTACTTCCATGGTGAGTGGGGCTCTGGGGCTGCAGGTGGGGACACAGGTGGTGCTGCCTTCCTCCCTCCCTCCCTCCCCTCATCCTCACCCCCTTCTCGCTGACTTCTACGGCAGATTGCTCCTTCGAGTCTGAGATCAATTACAACAACCCACTGGGCACGGGTGGGCGCCTGGCCATCGGCTTTGCCGTGCTGCTGCGGGCGCTCTGGAAGGGCACGCACCATGCCTTCCAGCCCTCGAAGCTGAAGGTGAGGCCTGTGCTACTGGCAGCACCAGTCATCTGCTGGGCTGCAGTAGTGACCCCATCTCCTGCTGCCCCTAGCAGCCAGCGCTCTCCGCCCTGGCACAGGCCCGAGTCCAGCGTGGTGAGGGCACCTGGCGTATCGGGGTGAGGTCCCTGCCTGTGACCATGATCGTGACCTTGTCTGCCCACAGGCAATCGTGGCCAGCAAGGCCAGCCAGTTCACGGGCTATGCCCAGCATGATGCACAGGAGTTCATGGCTTTCCTGCTGGATGGGCTGCACGAGGACCTGAACCGCATCCAGAACAAGCCCTATACAGAGACGGTGGACTCAGATGGGCGGCCTGATGAGGTGAGTGCCCTGCCCCCAGCCCAGCCCTGCCCCAGGGGGCACCTGGTGCCGGACTGAACTCCCTTCTCTTCCTGTGCAGGTTGTGGCTGAGGAGGCATGGCAGCGGCACAAGATGCGCAATGACTCCTTCATTGTGGACTTGTTCCAGGGCCAGTACAAGTCCAAGCTGGTGTGCCCTGTGTGCTCCAAGGTAGGGCAGGAGTGGGCCAAGCCCATGCTCACAGGTACCCGTTGCGCAGTGCAAGGGCCCCAGCTGTGACCCTCTGTGTCCACCTTCCCTTCACCCACCAGCTACCACGTGGAGGGAGCCAGGACTCCTTTTCCTGCCCCTGCCCAGCTGTCCTGCCTGCCCTGGGTAGAGCTGTGCCCTGGGCCCCGGAGTTGTGCTCTGCTTGCTCTCTCTCTCTGCCCCTGAGATCTTGGCATGTGAGGCCTGATTTTTTGTCTCTGCATGCAGGTGTCTATTACCTTTGATCCTTTCCTATACCTGCCGGTGCCACTGCCGCAGAAGCAGAAGGTCCTGACAGTCTACTTCTTCGCCAAGGAGCCGCACAAGAAGCCCATCAAGGTAGGAGGAGCCTCCCCAGTGCCAGAAGCTGTTGCCATTCCCATCCAGATAAGTGACTGGGCCAAGCTGGGCTTGTCGAGCCACCCTGACAGCCAGTGTCACGTGTGCAGACCTAGGCTGCCAGGAAAGGCCTGGCCCCATGGGACTGGCTGACGTGGCCTTTCTTGTGGCAGTTCCTCGTGAGCATCAGCAAAGAGAACTCCAGCGCCTTGGAGGTGCTACAGTCGGTGGCCCACAGCGTACACGTGAAGTCAGAGAACCTGCGCTTGGCGGAGGTGAGCAGCAGCCTTTGGGGCTCTGTGCCATGCACTGAGCCTGGTGCCAGGCACTGCAGGCACACCCCAGGCAGCTTCCTGTCAGCACAGCCAAGTAGTGCCTTGGGTGCAGCATGGCCTTAGTAGTTCCCCTCGTGCAGGGAGACAAGCTGCAGTGGTTACAGCAGGGTTGACCATGCTGGGCGGGGTGCCCTGCTTGCCTTCCATTTTGCCTCAGGGCCTCTGCCACCGTAGGGTACTGGTGGCAGGGGAGGGGCAGGCTGTGCTGTGTGGTGGTGAGAATGGACCGTGCCTTGTGCATGGAGGGGGCGTGCTAGGCAAGGCTCACACCTGCTCCCCTGTAGGTGATCAAGAACCGCTTCCATCGCATGTTCCTGCCTTCCCATTCCCTGGACACCGTGTCCCCCACGGACCTGCTGCTCTGCTTTGAGGTGCTGTCCCCAGAGCTGGCCAAGGAACGTGTGGTGGTGCTGCAGGTCCAGCAGGTATGGGGCACAAGGGGATCAGGGTCACAGGGGCAGGAGCTCCCTGAAAAAGCACTAATGCCTCCCCTTGCCTGGGAGATGGGCCATGCCAGTAACCAGGAGCCCCCCAGGCTGCCCAGTCAACCTCACAGAAGCTACTCTCCATCTGCTAGCCCTTCTCCCTTCCTGCATGTTGGGGCCTGCCCTGCCATGCCCCCCGGGGGGTGGGGCAGGGCTGTTGTATAGGGCCTGGCCTGCCCCCCCAATGCCTGCTGTCTCCCCCAGCGCCCCCAGGTGCCCAGTGTGCCCATCTCCAAGTGTGCGGCCTGCCAGAAGAAACAGCAGTCAGAGGACGAGAAGCTGCGGCGCTGCACAAGATGCTACCGTGTGGGCTACTGCAACGTGTGAGTTGGGTACCTGTTCTGGCAGTGTTGGGGGTGGAGAGATAAAAGGTTCAACAATTTATTAACCACTAAGTGCAGCCGTAACTGGGTAGCTTACGGTTACCCTTTAGCTGGGGCAGGCCCAGTCTAGCAGGAAAAGGGCAAAGGAAAGCCCCAGGGTGCCCCAGCAGGAATCGGGGGGCAGGAGGGCAGGTGGGGGTGGGGGAG